TATATATATATATATATATATATATATATATATATATATATATATATTAATCCGGTTTCATTGTACATTTGATCCATAATTCTGACAACCGTTAACCACCCTTCGTATTCTCATCCACTTGTCACGCTCTTGAAGGTAGTTGTAACGCCCGTGTTTCTGGCTAAGCATTATTATGATGATGTGATAGTTGGGGTCAATAATTGTAACTTATTTGATGTAATGAAGAAGAATTATTTGAGTATTATGTGATTTACGTGTAAATTATGTCCAATATACGTGCTTATAACGATATAATAAAATTGGAATAAAATACGTGTAAAAAATAAATAATAATTAGACCCAATATCTTTGAAGAAAGTTGAAGTAGTCGTAACAAGGATTCCAGAGATATAAGGAACGTTGGAATTCAACTTATAACGAAGAAGCTATGACCATCGAAGTTTCGCGATTAAACCGGCACGGCTCCGCATATTGTAAAAAGTAATTTTTTGACAAAATACTTTTTAACCCTAGCGATCTAAACAGAAGTCTTAGTAGACGTTAAAGCGAGAGTGTGCATATAGAGAACGTCCAAATCTGACTTTGTTAGAGGAAATTATGATTTTTCTAAGATTCAGTGTAGCAGTATACAACTTAGAAATCAAATTTTAGATTGGTCGATTTTTAGCCGACATGATCTACATGAGAATTGAAGATCTCATTAATAGGAGCTCAACGATATAAAGACGGACGAAAAAGGACGTCAGACGACAAAGTTATGAATTCTTAACGGACTTTAACTGTTTAAGACTGTTCAAATATAACTTTATAAATAAAGTCAAAATTAGATGACGGAGTCTTAACGAAAGTTGTAGATCAGGTCGATAGCTACGCGTGGATATAAAGAACGTCAAAAACGGAGCTCGTATGCAAAAGTTATGAATTTTACAAGATAATAAATTTCCGGATTAACTAGAGGATGTCACGTGTCGCGGTCTAGCATCACACCTTCTTCCCCACTGATTGCCACCAGATTGTGACACATGGCATGTTACGCCAAGCGTGCTGCTTAGGTACGCACCGCGTGATGAAGTATTGAATCAAGTAATGAACGTAGAATCAGAGTTACGAGAATTAAGAACACCGAGAGTAAATAATATCTGGTTTCAGCTCTATTATGCTTCAAGTTTACAAAGAGATCATAGACAAGACAGACTCCCCAAAACTCTTATCTATCTCTAAGTAACTCCCTTATTTATAGGAGAACTATAAAGCATACAAAAAATACTAAGGCTTGTATTCGGCTTCGACATAAAGGTACCTTAGTAAATACATAACAAAACTAACGAATGTAACTCTTACACAGACTTCGACATATTACAATATAATTTCGACATTACAATCTCCCCCTTTGTAATAATGTCGAACTTCTCAATTGGTGAGAATCTGTTCAGGAAAATGCATCATTCTACGAATCTCCGTATACCAGCTCATCACCTTCTTTAGCTATGCGTTATCACCATCATTGTTCTTTTTGCAGTTATTCATACGAATAATGAAGTTTGTATATTGAGCTGTAGTATATATTTCCACTTCATTTGCTTCAAACAAAAAATCTTTTTGTTTTCCCATTTTTATATTTTCCAGCAAAAACCAATCCCAAAGGCTTTAAACAAATCTCCCCATCAACATATTTCTTCAGTTCTACTTTAGACTTCGACACTTCCATAGCCACTTTTACTTCTTTCCCAAGTGAAGTTGACAACTCAACATCAGTCAAGGCTAGACAATCATAGTAATTGTCTATGAATATTTTGATATGACCAAGACCTAGTCTCAAAATTTCCTTATCAGTTCCTTGAAGTTGTGAAGAATA